TTCCAGAACGCGTCTCACGATCCAAGCTGGCCCGAGGCGTTTGCCAAGTTGAAAGCTCTAGTTTGGTTTTGGTAAATTGATGAAACCCTAAGTGCTAACCTAGTTCATCAAGTGATCATGAGATAGGTAGCACACTTCAAGTAGAGAAGCAAATGAAGATCATAACATGACAATGGTGATAGCATGGAGATGATCAAGGGCTTAAACTTGAAGAGAAGAAAGAGAAAAACAAAAAGCTCAAGGCAAATGTATAACTTGTAGGAGCTATTTTATTTTGGTGATCAAGACACTTAGAGAGTGTGATCACATTTAGGTTTGATAGCCGTACTATTAAGAGGGGTGAAACTCGTATCGGAATGCGGTTATCAAAGTGCCACTAGATGCTCTAACTCATTGCATATGCATTTAGGATCTAGTGGAGTGCTAACACCCTTGATAATATTTGTGTAAATATGCTACCACATGTGCACAAGGCGCTTTCGAGAAAATAAAATGTCTATTTTCTATTGCGCCGGATGCAAAATTCTTGGTGGTTGGCACACTTGAGCAAGGGTGAAGAAGTAAGAGTTGAAATGGAGTTGATCGAAATGATGCTGGCGTCGGTCTACTGACCGGACGCTGGGTCACTCAGCGATCGGACGCTGAAAGGCTACGTCCGGTCGAGCTGTCAGACGGCACAGTGGCTAGGGTTGAGCACCGGACGCTGGCTGTGTCCGGTCAAGGTGGACCGGACGCGTCCGGTCGAAAAAACATGCCTCGGGGAGCTTACTGGAAACGACCGGACGCTGGGGCTTCAGCGTCCGGTTAGTTTTACCGGAGCGTCCGGTCAGCTTCGCAGCCGTTGAAATCTGACGAACAACGTTTGAAGCTGGTGACGCGTGGCGTCCATCGGGCGACCGGACGCTGAGGGCCAGCGTCCGGTCAGTATGACCGGAGCGTCCGGTCAGAGCGCGTTTTGCCCAGTGAAGGGGTATAACGGCTCTATTTGACTGGGGCTCTATTTATAGCCCCATGGCCGGCTCAAGCTCTCACTCTTGGCCATTTCTATTGACATAGCATACTTGTGAGCTTAGCCAAAGCCCTCCCACTCATCTAGATCATTGATTCATCATCATAGTGAGATTGGGAGTGAATCCAAGTGCATTGCTTGAGTGATTGCATCTAGAGGCACTTGGTGATTGTGTTTCGCTGTGGATTTCACTTGTTACTCTTGGTGGTTGCCACCACCTAGATGGCTTGGAGCAGCAAGGATCGTTGAGTGGAGGAGGTGATTGTCTCCGACTCCGATCGTGGTGATTGTGAGGGGTTCTTGACCTTTCCCCGGCGGAGCGCCAAAAGGTACTCTAGTAAATTGCTTGTGGCTTGTGTGATCCTCATCTTGTGTTGGTTGTGCGGCACCCTATTGAGGGTTTGGCGAGTGATGCCAATCAGCGCGTGAACCTCCAAGTGAGTGAATCGCCACAACGAGGACTAGCTTGCCGGCAAGCAAGTGAACCTCGGTAAAAATCATTGTGTTCATCATTTGATTCTGAGGTGATTGGTCTACATTGGTATTCATTATTGTGATTGATTGGTTCCTACCACTACACGGCGGTATAACTCTCTTGCTTACTCTTACATTACCGCAAACTAGTTATCAAGCTCTTTAGTGTAGCTAGTTGTGAGAGCTTGATTGTTTGATTAGTGTTGCTCTTTAGTTAGTCTTTGAGAGCACACTAATTTAGCTAAGTGTCATAGCTATTGTGTGGACATACACTATTCGAAATAGAATTGTGGTAGGTGGCTTGCATTTTAGTAGGCTAGCGCAACACTCGCTTCGCCGCAAAATTGTCTAACACATTTTGTTAAGTGTTGTTGTAGAATTTTATTAGGCTATTTACCTCCCTCTAGCCATTAGGACCTTTCACAAGTCCGGATCCATTGGCAAGGCGAGCCCTCGGCCTCCGCTACCTGGGAGGACATTGACAGCTTCACTGAGCGTTACCCAAGCTTCCAGCTCGAGGACGAGCTGCTCATCGAGGGGGGAGAGATGTCATGTGGGGCTGAAAGTACAGCCGCCGGCCTCAAACACAAGGTGCAGCCGGGGCAGTCCCCAAGGGGACGCATGGCCTGGAAGAACCCAAGGAGGTTTAGGCGGCTGGAGGGGCTGCAGTCTCTAAGGCAATTAAGTAGAAGTTGAAGAGATTAAGGAATTAATTAGCAAGCTAGCAGTTAATGGCTGGCGCAAGTAGGAATGGAGCAGAGCTCCTATATGTACCCCTGTACTCGTTGAAGGAAGTAAGAAAGAAGTTATTCCCTAATCTTTCCCTTTCTCTGCTATTCTTAATCTCACCTCCTGCTGGGGTATAGTCAGGCAAAAACCCTGGCACCTCCATTACCTGGTTCGAGTTATGAGCTGAGAAGTCAGGGGCCTCCAACTCTAGGCGCCCAGGTCCTTGACAGATGCCATCCACATACTGTGTATGCCTCTTTTCTTTATTCATATATTCTTTTTTTTGAAGCATTTATTCATATATTCTCTCTTGTCAAAGATAGATATAGATGAGTTATGTCTATCTTGTATGCATTAGGACACCGAAAGAGCTTAACTCCTCTCTTCATGCTAGCTCAATGATTTTCTAGTTTCTCTCTCCTCCATGTAGCACCTAATACTAGCTTACTTATTAGAACTGGTTGTTGGAGGTTCCCTAACATGGGTCTAAAACGGACACCTATGGATAGATAGTTAAAAGTGTATTCCTTGGATTCAGATTTAGGTATGAATAGTGTCAGCTATATTGGATAAGATATATGAATGGACATATCGACATTAAATATATCCGAATTGAGTATCTAGATATGGATATAGTATGCACACTGAATCTCCAGATTTAATTATGGCATTAAAATTATGGATATGAAGCCCCTAGGCGGACAGTCGGTCAGAAAATGTCCATAGTATGGACTCCATACCATTTACTACTACCGAATAAAAAGCGCTCCCAGTTTTTTTTTCTTTTTCCATTTGTTTTTAATAAAGACACATCTAGTTTTGCTTTCAATTAGCAGGAATCTTGCATAGCGGTCTCTTTTGAAACTTCTCGGTCATGCAGATGCTGACACCGACTTTCCATGTTTAACTCTAGCCATGTGGTGATGGAGGAAACTAATAATTGCACACATGGAGAAGCGTGGCTATCTTGCCGACCAATGAATGCAAAAAAAAAAAAACGGGAATATGCCATACCTACGTGCAGGGGCCATCTTTGACTTGAATCGTGGCAGTCTAATATCCGGACGATGACTTGCACAAGAGAAGGCCAGGATCCTCAAGCAACATCAGATCATTCATCATCCACAGCATTCAAACGTCCCCTCTATAATTTTTATATGGGGCCACATTATATAATCGTGTCAAACAGTGGTGAAGCAGCCAAATATAATAATCCAACCCGCTATTGCAATATTATGTCTACAAGTTTTTCTTTTTCTTTTTAACATAATATGATGCGTGTAATCATTCCTAGTACATAAATGGTTTCTGCCGACGCTAAAGATTTGTTCAATAGCGATTCATAACGAATATGCTTCAGTAAAAATAGAACTATGGGCTCATGACTAGAATCGTAAGTTGAGATACATCTCTACTAACAACTTTATGGGTTATATCACTGGTAAAAGTCAGCTATTTACGCCGGTGGTAGGCTTAACACAACCACCAGTGTAAATTGGATTTAGATTAAAGGTTGTCTTAAACCTACCACCGTTTGTAAATAGAGGATTTGTACTGACTATAGGCTTAAGAAACCGTTTACAGCCGTCCTAATCATGGCCAGTTTATAAAACCAAGTCATGATGGAACCTGTGTTATGGGGTATGGCCACAGCAAAGGTCTGATCAGTTATGACGGTAATTACCACAGTAGGTTTTTATAATAGACTGTTTGTGAAGCCTTTGGTAACTAACACAATCAATTTGGGACATAAAAAACTGTAATATCCACCAGCGCCCCCTACAGACGCTAGGCCAACGCGTGTCTGTGACCGGTGGAGTCGCCGGTTCAGCGGGGTCAACACGCGTCTGTAATAAGAGCATACTACATACGCATGTTGCCATGTTGGTAGATACATGAGGGTATTGTGGGAAGTAAAAAATATGGGCGAAAAAAATGCATTTCTTTTTAATATTATATTAGGTATAGATAAATATAGATATATAGATATAATATAGATATTGATTGAGCGGATCGTAGAAATAGAAAAATGTAATAATAGGATACGTCTCTACGCTTATGCTTGTAACCTAGTGGATTCAAACTACGTACTCAACCGAGAAAGTCCTACACTATACTACCGATATACACTTCCTATATGAATGAATGAAATAGCTGGCACCCACAGATGTAAAGCCGTTCCAATTAATCTACCTTCAATCTTCACTGAAATTTTATGTTAGGCAGCACTTAACTCTTGCTAATTCTGCAACCCCGCTCACATGTCACGTACTACTACAACGGTAAAAAAGGAAGGTGATTCTGAATTCTCATCAGCCAGCCGCGTCAAGGTTGTCGATCGGTACCTGCATTCCTCATTTCCACCCTATTCCATTTCCATTCATGCGCTCTTTCATTGGCTCTCGCTAACACACCAAACGCTCCTCGCTTTCCCTCTCCAGCCGCAGCCCACAGCCCTTTCTTCGTTCACTCACGTGTCACTCGCCATGGTTTCTAATATCGGCCGAAATCTCCTGATATTTCCGATATACCATCTTTATCCGTAGGTGCCGATAAGGAAATATCTATCTTTTTAGTATAAATTTTGTTTAAATTTATTTAAATTTACTTAAATTCAAATTAAATTTTATTTGAATTTGGTCCGATATTTCCGATATATTCTGTTTATCCTCTTTATCTGTGACCCTCGATAAATTTTAATTTTCGAAAATGAAAACCTTGTCACTCGCTGCCCAAACCCCCGACCGTGGGGCTGCCCCCACCGAAAACCCCGCTGCCGACCACCGCGATGGACGCCGGCGAGCATCCTCTGGTCGAGCAATCTGCCATCCCGGTCATCTCCAACGCTGCTGACGCCTCCAAACCCTACGTCCTGCCAGCCCTCTTCCTGCGCCCCCGTGCGGGGGACAACGCCGCTCCCCCTACTCCGCCCGGCAATCCTAGCCCCGTCCCTGCCCTCCCCCATGGGATCGAGGCGGAGTTTGGGCGCGCGTGCCCCGGCGGTGGCTGGAGTAGGTGGACAAGCTCCGCCGGTGCCATGAGCCGTTGTGGCGGGAGGTCGGGATCCTGTGCGGCATCCTCGTCAGCAAGTGTTGGGTGCGCCACCACGACCATGAGCATGCGCTGCTGCAGCTCACCACCTTCTAGTCCGGCGCCACCGGCACCTTCGTCTTCCCCTGGGGCAAGGCCACTCTCACTCTCGAGGACATCAATGTGCTCGCCGGCCTGCCGCTCCTCGTGTCCCCGTGCGCAAGCCCATGTCGGACAGCCTCCAGAAGGATGTGGCCACGACTGAGGCCGTCTGGGCGGCGCAGAACCGGAGCAAGAAGAAACCCTCTTATGGCATGTGGGTGAAACGCTTCGTCGAGCGCGTGCTAGAGGAGGAGGAGGAGGCGCCGTCCGCTGGCGGTGGCGGTGGCGACGACTGCGAGGCGCATGAGCTGGTCAAACACGGTGCCTTCCTCTCCATGTGGCTATCCCTCTTCGTTCTCCCAGGCCCACCGTTCGATGTCGTCCGCCGGGAGGTCCTTCCGCTTGCGGCCCGTCTGGCGCGCGGCCAGAGCATGGCGTTCGCCCCCGCCGCGCTCGCCACAATCTAGCACGTTCTCTCCGCGATCAAACACCGCATAACCTCGGGCAAGAAAAACGAGGCTTTCGTCGTCTCGGCGCACATCCTCCAGCTCTGGGTCTCGGAGCATTTCACCTAGCTAAGCCCTGAACCAACGGCCTCCTCTGCTCGAGGTGATCATGACATGCCACAGGCCACCTGATGGCATGAATTTGGGAAAAGGCTGAGCTCCAAGGACGTCCAGTGTTCATGTCACCAAAGGAGTTTAAGTGGAGGCCCTATGGAAATCGCAGTTTGTTTGGTCTGCAGCCAGAGATGGGTGGTTTTTGGCCTGCAGCGACAAGTGAAGCGCTCTTGTCCTTGGGCGCGGTGTTTGCACGCTTGTGAGTTCGTGGGCATGAACTGCATTCAGAAGTATAGTCCTCATCGTGTTGCAAGGCAGCTCGGCTTGGATCAGGACATCCCTGGTTCGGTTCCCCATGCAAGCTCAGGTTGGGAGAAAGCATGGGAGACATACAACATAGATCAGGCCGAAAGTTCTGCATTTATCTTTCCAAATCACAAGCCCAGTGTGACGGTTCAGTATGCAAAGTGGTGGGAGCCTTACTCATCAGCATGTGATAGTGCCATTGCTAATGCTGCAGAGATGAAAGAAGGCCATGATTTTGTTAGTCCACCGAAAAGGAAAATGGAAGGGGTTCTTGCTGGAAATTCTGGCAAAAAGCTGCGTCTACCAGTGGCCACGGCTACTCGGGGCCGCCCACCCAATATACCAGAGGGAACACATCTACTCTTCCCAGTCCTCAGGCATCCATGCAGAAATAAGACAAGCTGCGGCAGCACCAGCGCTTGTTCTCGATGCGTGTCCACCCCACCTAATTAAGATTTAGAGCTATGTCCGCCACCGGGATGCCTCAGCCAGCGCCAGATGCAGCCGATGATCCTACAAGATCACATTTCTCATTCTGAAAGGCTCAATAGCTTTACTAAGATGCCTAAGCAGCCCAACACATAATGTTTGGTGAAGGGCCAACACTTGGAGGCTTTGGTGTAACAATCTTCACACGTTTGACAATTCTCTCCTGCTCACCACCCTTCATCAATCATTCTCTGTTGGGCTGCTTATGCATCTTAGTAAAGCTTTTGAGCCATTCAGAATGAGAAATGTGATCTTGTGGATCATCGGCTACATCTGGCGCTGGCTGAGGCATCCCAGTGGCGGACATAGCTCTAAATCTTAGGTGACGCATGGAGAACAATGCAAGCCCTGGTGCTGCCGCAGCTCGTCTTATTGCTACATGGCTGCCTGAGGACTGGGAAGAGTAGACGTGTTCCCTATGGTATATTGGGTGGTGGCCCTGGTAGCCGTGGCCACAGGCAGTGCCAGACTTTCCAGCAAGAACCCTTCCATTTTTCTTTTCGGTGGACTAACAAAATCATGGCCATCTTTCATCTCTGCAGCATTAGCAATGGCACTATCACAGGCTGATGAGTAAGGCTCCCACCACTTTGCATACTGAACCGTCACATCGGGCTTATGATTTGGAAAGATAAATGCAGAACTTTCGACCAACCTCATAACACTTCCAAGGTGAGCAGGTAGGGTTTCACTACGAGGCCTTTACAAAGAATCATCTAGCAAACGATAATCACCTAAGGCTCCTCCAGAGACGAAGCAACCAAAGGACCCCCTAGGACCATGCCACATCTTGGGACATCCCTCGTGGAGCAGCCCGATTAACACTGCACTAGAATCCTCTAATTAATTAGCCAAGGCTAGAGCCATGTAGCTCTCGAGGTTGTACTGTTATCATGGGTGGTCGCTCCACGAACAAGTCCTTAAGAAGGACCCGGGCATAAAACATAGACCACAAACCAAACTTACCATAAACATCATCACCTGCATAACAACCAAGACTTACCATGTGCCTGAGTCCCTATGTTCCATGTTGCTAAAAAGCCAACATTTTACCATAGTTCCATATCCATTAAATCATCATTAACATTTCATCATCATGTGACATTGGTATTAAAGTAAAGTTGATAAGCATAGCATTGCTACCCATTATACAATCCAGGTAACAAGGAAGATATGGAATTCTAAGATATCCTTAGGGTACTCATATTTAGACACATGCATGCATAAAATGTGATTATGAGTGACTGGGCAAAGAACATGGTCAAGGAGCCTGCACTTGCCTTCCTCAAGTTGGTGCTGCTCATAGCCTTCAAAGTCTAGCTCTTGTAGATTCATGTGCAACTCTTCTCCTATACGCGACAAGCAACGACACATGAGCACAAGCAAGCAAAACATGCACTAAATTAGAAAACAGTACACCAATACATGATAGAGAGATAAACAAGCTCACAAAGCTATTCTACTCGCTGAGACGAACTCGTAGGCGCAAGAACCACTTAAATCGGAGCTAAAACACACAAGATATGGCTAAAACAAGATTAGTGGCAAAATTGTGATTAAAAGGAACTATTTTCACATTTTAATTAATTAAAACAGGGATTTGAAAAAGGTTTGGACTGGCGGTACAAAAACCTAGAAGATCAGGGGCTAAAAGGAAAAAATGGACTAAACTCTAATTACTTTTGGACTACACTGGAGCGTGGGTTGATATCGAAAACTTACAGGGGCTCTTTTGAAAAACATCCAAGGTTGATGCGGTTGCGTTCTATGCTGGCATGGCTGGTTGACTCGGTCTCCGGCCAACGTGGAGCCTACGTGGCAGCCATGTCAGCCTGGCTGACTTCGGTTGACCGGAAGATCTGGGCGCTCGGTTTTTGATCGGACGGCTGCAATCGGCTCGGGCGAGTTGGCTCGCCGGCGGTGGCAGCCAGCGCGGCGGCACGACCATGGGAGGCCGCTACTGCCTAGGCGGCTGGCACGGGAGCGAAGCGCGCGGCGAGGACAAGCCTATGGGGCTGTTCTCCGCGGCGGGAAACAGCCAGAGCGAGACAGGCCCGGCCCCGGATGCGGGCAAGCGGGGCGGCCGCCCTGGCCCCCCAACTAGGTAGGGCCCCACCCCAAGTATGCAAACACCAGGTATACAGGCCTGCAGGTATATTAGTATTTGGATTTGGCCCAGAATGTTGCTGGCCTGCAGTCCTGGGCCTCCTGGCGTCCGCGAGAAGGATCAAGAAAGAAAGAGCTAGCTTCCGTGAGAAGCCACAACACATGCGACACGCCCACACGCAGACTCCTCCAGGGCGGGCGGACGCGACCGGCAACGTGAGACGCGAGGGCGTGGCTGTTGCGCCTGCGCAAGGCGAGACCGTGAGCGTGAGACCGCGACTCCACGAGACGCTGGGCTCGACGCTGCCGACGCGCTGCGATCTCCGCGACGCCGCCCGACCCAGACGAGCGACGACGAATCGCGGTGAGCCACACTGAGCCAGCAACGCGAGTAGATGTCTAGATGAGTTACTTTTTTAGCTAATTGTTTCTCTAAATCTTAACAGCATCATGTCATCAAGAAAGTATGCTTCCGGCAGCGAGAAAAGGAAAAAGAAAGCACGAATAGATGAGTTCATACAATCACAGAGGGGTTCTATGCATAAGTTTTTGAAGAATAATCCAAACACTTCAAGAGATCCAAACGAGTTGGCGATAGTTGTCTGGAAGGAACCAACACAGATTATTCCAGAAGATGAAGGTCCTCCTGATGACAATGTTGGCATTAACATGGAAGAAAACAATGTGAGTAATGATGAGCACATATTTAATTCAAATACTACAGAAAATAGTAGTCTTGATGAGGAACCGGTGTGTCACATGGATATTTATGATCCAAGAAATTGGGATAATCTTGATAACAAAGTAAGGGATATATTAGTTGAAAAGGGGCCTATAAGAGAAGATAATATTGTATTCCCTTTCGACGATAATTTAAGGCATTTTGCATATTCTCATTATCATAGAAAAATGAGTAATGGAGAGCTATGTGACAGGAAATGGCTAGTTTATTCCAAACACTTGGATAAAGTATTTTGCTTTTGCTGTAAGCTTTTTAATTCTAAAAAGTGCAAGAGTTCATTGGGAAATGATGGGTATAGAGACTAGAAACATATCAATGAGAGGCTGAAGGAACATGAAATTACTGTTGAGCATATTACCAATATGAACTCATGGAATGAATTGAGAACTAGATTAGGCAAACAAGAGACAATTGATAGAGTTACAGCAGCAAATCTCCAAGGAGAAAGAGCGCATGAGGCAAGTACTGATGAGAATAGTTGCCATTGTAAAATTCCTTGGTAGACATAATTTGGCTTTTAGAGGATCTAACGAGCAGCTTTATAATGACCAAAATGGCAATTTCTTAGCTTATGTTGAGATGGTCGCAGAGTTTGATTTGGTAATGCAAGACCATCTTAGACGTATTCAAAATAATGATCTTCATTATCATTATCTTAGCCACAAAATTCAGAATGAGTTGATTTCTCTTATAGCTTCTGACATTACAAATTCTATCATCAAGATTGTTAAAGAGGCCAAATATTTCTCAGTTATTCTTGATTGCACCCCAGATGTTAGTCATCAAGAACAAATGACTTTGTTGGTTCGATGTGTTAACATGAGTGAAGGTAAAATTAAAATAGAGGAGTACTCTCTTGGTTTTCTGAAGGTAGATGACACATCTGGTTCTGTGCTCTTCAATGTTTTGGTTGATTCCATTAAGTCCTTTGGTCTTAACATTGATGACATTAGGGGGACAAGGTTATGATAATGGTTCTAATATGAAAGGAAAACACAAGGGAGTTCAAAGTCGATTGCGTGATATAAATCCAAGAGCCTTGTATATGTCATGTGCTTGCCACAGTCTTAATCTTACTCTTTGTGATATGGCTAAGTCTTGTAGCAAAGCTGACTCCTTTTTTGGAATTGTGCAACGGATATATGTCTTATTTGCTGGTTCTACTAAAAGATGGAAATTTTTGCTTGATCATATTGATGGTTTAACTGTGAAATCTTTGTGCAACACACGTTGGGAGAGTCGTATTAAAAGTGTTGCAGCAATTAGATATCAAGCTCCTCAGCTAAGGGCAGCTTTACTTGCATTGAGTGAAGATAGAGATGTAGAACCAAAGGATAGAAGTGATGCAAAGAATTTATTTGAAGTACTTGGCAGCTTTGAATTTATATTTGGCATGATGTTTTATTTGCTATCAATAAAGTAAGCAAGAAGTTGCAGTCACCATCTATGTGCATTGAGTCTACCATGCAGCAGATACAAGGCATAATGGATTATTTTAAAACCTATAGAAATGATGGGTATGCTTCTAGTAAGGTCAATGCAACGGAAATTGCATCTGAAATGGGTGTCGAGCCATCGTTCCCAGTAAAGTGATGTGCTCTTAGAAAGAAGCATTTTGATGAAAATAATAGTGAGGAAGCACTCTTGGAAGGTGAGAAGGAATTTAAAGTTAGTTACTTCGCGGTTATAATTGATATGGCAGTCCGTTCATTGGAGACTAGATTTCAAGAATTGGAATCATTCAGAGAATTATTTGGATTTTTAATGAGTTCAGCAAACTTGAAAGCATTGGATGGTCCTGAGCTAAAGTTGTGTTGCACAACACTAGCAGCAGTTTTCTCTCTAAATGGTTCATCTGACATTGATTTGAATGATCTAATTTCCGAGTTGAGTGTTCTACAATTCACTTTGCCAGATACACCCATGACAGCTATGGAGATTTTTGAGTTTGTTACAAAGGCTGATTGTTATCCTAATGCTTCCATTGCTTATCGGATCATGTTTACTATGCCTGTGACTGTGGCATCAGCTGAAAGAAGCTTCTCAAAACTAAAATTGTTGAAGAACTATTTGAGATCTACAATGTCTCAAGAGAGGTTAAATGGTTTGGCAACAT